GACCTGGGGTTTTAGCCCCACAGGCCAAGTGTCGGCCTCCCCAGGTCCCTCTGGGTCCTAGAGTTCCGGAAGTGGGCGGGAGTGTGCAGCCGGACAGCCCTGCCTGAGGTACCCCGATCTGACAGGAGCACCAGAGCTGGGGTCCCGGGGTGGGCCCTCTGTGTGGGCGGAATGAGCCCTCAGTCCTTACTTGGAGGGTCCTCACAGCCCTGGCTTGGACACCGTGGTCACATCACGGTTCCCAGAGGGGGCGCTGCAGAGCCATGGTCCCTGGGGAGCATCAGACCCTAACTGCCTCCCCTGCCCCGACTTCCCATGGTGCCTCTGCACCAGACCGCCTGGCACCATGGAAACATTGTGTTCTACATGTTTCCTTTCAGTATAGTCGCTGAGCTATAGCAGGGATTCGGAGAGGGCTTGTGGTTTCGGGGGTTATCTGTCTACCTTTGCTTGTCATTGCAGGCTTTTTTTCTTTTTGATCCTCATTTATAGTAATTATTACATTTTGCACCTCTACCTAGTTTGTATACATTTTATTTATGCATACATTTTTGCATATATGTATATGCATGTATAAATCTGGATATGTAGTGTATGTGTACACATATAGCCTAAATGTTGATCAGGTGTGTTTATATATCTATAGGTGCCCATACTACATACCTACATATACATATATATATATATATATATATATATATATATATGCATGTCTATGTCTTATGTATTTCCATATACTAGACAAGTTACTTTATGAAAGCTTACCTAATCTTACTATGCATGATTTACTCTGATACTTGCTTTTCTACTCCTTCTCTATTCTTTATAATCTATTGAAACAATACTTTTTGAAAGGCCAGTCCTCAACCACTTCCCAGCTCCCCCACACAACCACCTCAACCACACATGCCAGCTCACCAGTCTTGTGTCCCCGAGGGGCTTGCTCATATTAAGTTGTTTAGATTTTATTGTTGAATACTCCCCCAGCCCTTGCCCTCCAATCTCTTCCTTAGATATTTTCCTTCCGTTTGTTTAGGGAGCAGAAGTCATCAGTCCAAGCTTAATTGTTATTTGGGCAACACCTGTATAGCACTAAATTTGTAAAATTTTAAGCAGAATCAACATATTTGCAATATTGTGTTTCCCATGAATGAATATGGAAACTGCTCTATTAGTTTGGCACTTTTTTTTAAACCTGAATCCCTCAATATTATTTTTAGTTGACTCTTTTTAAATTAGGATACTTCTTGGTTAAGTTTTGGCTTTTATAACTGTGGTCAACGAGATTTTTGTATTCCATGTTCTAATTAGTTATTGCTTTGTGTGGGAAGGTTTTGTTATAGCTAGATGATCATATTATCAACAGATATTGTTTGTTTCTCTTCCATATTCATACCTCATATTTACTTTTATACCCACAGCCCGCATCTCTGACTTATCTCTGCCTTTAATGGAAATGCTTTTAATGTTTCACACTTAAGCATGTTGCTCTCAATTTTAGGAAATGGAAATTCCCTTTTGGCTGAGTTTGTTCAAAGTTATTTCCCTGAACATAGTAAAGTTTTTTGTTTGTTTGTGGTGTGTGTGTGTGTGTGTGTGTGTGTGTGTGTGTGTGTGTGTGTTTTGCAAGGATCTCTCTCTGCTGATCCCGGTGCTGGGAGGCATATTACCCTTTTACTATATAGGATAGAGGCCTGGTGCACTGGTGGGGGACGGCTGGTTTGCCCTGAAGGGTGTCACGGATCAGGATGGGGGTCCCGTTTGGGTGCCTGGCCAGCCTGGTGAGGGGATGATGGCTGTTTGCAGCTGGTCACACCCCCTTCAGGGTGGGGGTCCCCACTGGGGTGCTGGACATTCTGGGTGAGGGGCTGAGGGCCGTTTTCAGGCTGGTGGGTGACTGAAGCTCCCAACCTCTCCTTTTTTCTTTTTTCTTTTTTATTCTGGGATTTATTTACCTTCTATAGCTGTCACTGGAGCTGAGAGCTGGCTTTAGCTCTGAGGCCGGCTCCAGCTTGAGGCCTGGGCTGCTGAAAGCAGGGATCTGGGTTTGTTTGGGTTCTATAATTGTAACACTCTTTTGGTCCTGCTCGCTCCAGCTCTGACGGCTGAAAGCAGGTTTCGGGGTTTTGTTTAGCTTCTATATTTGCAACAATGTTTCTTAGAGAGCAAGCTCAGAGGCCGGCAAGGCAGGCGGTGAACCTTGGCTTTCTCCATCACTGGAGCAAGCAAGCCTCCTGTTCACTTCAGCTGTCTGGCAGCCAGCCACCATCTTGGTTGGCAGTTAATTTGCATATCGCCCTGATTAGCCAATGGGAAGGGTAGCGAAGTTATGGTTAATTACCATGTTTCTCTTTTATTCGATAGGATATGAAATATACATATAAGTAAGCCTTTTGAGAGTTTTACCCAAAGCATCTTGAGCCTCCATAACCATGTGAGGCAATTCCTTATTAGAACTTTATGTTGACATGGTTGTGTTCAGTTTCTCAAAGAAGTGAGACTCATCCACCCTCCCTGACACTCTTGTCCTCCTGATCAGGATTTGCCTTTTGTGTAAGGGAAGGAGAAGGCATTACTGGATTCTGGGAGGCCCAGGCAGGTGGAGAAAAGGGGAGAAGGCTGTCCCTCTCAGGGGGTCTTTCAAGCAAACTCAGGCACTCCCGTCTTCACTCCATTACTCTTCTCTCAGGGGCCTTAATCACTTGACTTTTCCACATGAATGGCTTTCAAGTCCTAGCTGCTCTCTCTCCCCCCACTCCAAGACAGTATACTCAGTAGAGGTGCCCAGGATCCAAACAAGCTCCCCACTTCCCCTTTCTGCATCAAAAATATGCCCTAGGGGTAAGGGGGTAAGGGGGAGAGATCAACTAAAGGACTTATATGCTAGCATATAGGCCTAACCAATGGGCACAGACAACAGGGGGTGATGGCATGAGTGGGGGGATGGGGGATAATGTGGGGATAAGGACACAAATGTAATAACTTAATCAATTAATAAATAAAAAAATATGCCCTGGAGGACTCTAGGAGAAAAGCAGCCAAGGCAGCACATTCATCTTGCATGTTTAAAAAATTTATCTGATTAGTGGGTGCAGAACAGAGTGGGAAACCCATAGGAGGGACCAAGAGACACACAGGGAATCTGCTGTCATCATCCAGAGGGATGGCAGTTTTATAGGGGCTATTGGGAGACTCTGGACATGGACTGGAAATGGAGGTAGACTGGAAGAACTGGAACCTGTGGAGGGAAAGACAACAGGAAGAGAGGCCCTACCACCAGGTTTCTGACTTGACTTGGCAGGGTTGGGCCAGAGTGCAGGTGCAGAAGTCCAGTGACCCTTTTCTGAGATAAAGGGAAGGTAAGGCAAGGTTGTCCTGGAATGGGCAAGGCTCTTGGTCTACAATATAGCAACACTGCAGAGGGCAGGAGGAAGGTTCCTGCCTCACTGAATGGATCCAGAACACAACAGAGGCCTGTCTGATGACATCTGGTGGTCTATGACAGGGCTGACCACAAGTCTTTGCTGAGCAGCAAGGTCATTTCAAACCAGTGCTCCCCCATGTATTATAGGCTGTGTATGCAGGATGCCAAAGTCTCACACTGGGTGCAAGAGAGGGATAGCAGAGCTTGGACAAGGCAGTGTCTACTCCAAAGGGGTTTGCATCCTGGATGTCAATGGGAAAACATTCCAGAAATCTGGTATCTAGTTGTGATGACCCTCTGGTTGCTGAATCTGTGGCCTGGGACTCCAAACACCTGCAGATCATGACTCTGGAGCTAGAAATTAATGGTTTATGGAAGGAGGTAAGGACATTCCCCTAAGGGGGCCAAGATGCTTTTAAGTTGAGATATTCTCTGGAAAAAATAATCGCAACACAGAGTCTTTGAAATCCAAATTAATGTCAGTTGACAGCTCACCATAGACCACGTACTATGCCCAGCAAGACACAGGGATCATCCCCTCAAAGCCTTTCTGTGCCCTCTTGAGCTGCCATGTGTCCCTACCCCTTAATCAAAGTCAGCGTTTTCTTTGGGTGGTGGAGAGGTTAGAATCAGCATATGAAAGATGTGAGTTATTCATGGCAGCTCAGAGTGCATCCTCACCTGCTTTGCATCTTTGCTGTGGCCCACACTGTGTTCCTGTCCCAGGCTTCCGCTTTCAATATTGACATGATTTTCTAGGCAGCTTTTGAACCTGTGCCTCTGAACAGCACTGTCCACGAAGTGGAGGTAGAGCCTTTCTGTGTCCATCAATGGCTCAAGGCCATTGTGAGGTCCCTGGAGGCCTTGCTCATGACCACACCTTCAACTCCTACGGGCTTGTTTGCACTTCCCTCACAGGTAGTCTGCACATCACATATGCTTGTCCACAAGACTCCCTCTGACTTGGCCCCTTGTGCTCTCACCATGAAAGCCGGTTCCTTTTTGGTGCAAATACAATTCAGCCCACATTTGATGCCTTCTAGATGAAAAGCATTTCCCTGTGTTTCTCTGATAAGGTTTTAAAAGTGTTTTTCTTATTAAAAAGAAACCAGGCCACAGGGACAAACCATATTGGAACAGACAGAAGGAGCCACCAGAATGTCCCTAAACTCTGATGATTGGCTCCATCTTAGGACCTAAATAACCTCCTTATCATTGTCCATTTATATGTGTAATTAACTACTCTATTTCATGATGTGGTGCTAAATATCCACGTTTAACTGTTACCATAAAACTGTCAAACATTCTCAACACTAAAGAACACAATAAAAACTCCAGTTTTCCTATCACCCAGGAGCATTGATATGGTGCCTTATGTGCTCCATTCATTTTTTCTTGTTTCGCTTCCTCCTTTTCTTTTTCCTCTTCCTTGCTTACCCACTCCATTCCTTCCTTTCTCCCTTTGTCCCTTCCTCCTTTACTTCCTTCCTTCCTTCATTTTTAATTTTCTTGCTGAAGCTCTTTGAACCAAATCTCAGATACCAAGTCAGCTCACTCCTACATACCTGAGGGTGAAAACTCTGAAAACATAAGGACTTTAAAACATAATTTTTATCATCCAGACAAAGCAACAATTCAGTGTATCTTCTACTATTCCTTTCACAGTCATGTGGCTGCAATTCTCCCACATATTTCTTTGTTTGTAATGAAACCAAATTAGGTTATACATTGCATTTTCATGTCCCTTAATTCTGTCTGTCACTCCTTATTGAGTAGAAGCGTATATGAATCATAAATGTAGATGTATTTCCCACAGGGGTATTAGTTTTCAATCTGAAACCACTATACATATATCCTGGAGGTGGCCAAGGAATGATAAGGATTGTAGATGTTGGGAGCCAGAATTTTCACTGATAGAGTAAAGGGTTAGAGATAATCCAAGGGAGTAGACCAGAGGTCCCTTGCAGTAATAATGGGTTAGAACTGGAGACATCAGTATGAATTTGTGTTAAGCTTAACACAGACACCTATGGTGACATACATATTTATATATTGTCATACAAAGCTAATAGCAAATATCCCACTGAGATAAATCAGGGTTTGAGTAAATCCATAAATATATAAGAGTAGACAAATCTCCCTTGGAGTAGCTGCATTCTAAACCAATCATGTAGATACCCACTCTCCAATGAGGTGGACAATAACCCCACTCTTTAAGGGTCTCTTGTGTCTAGTGACTTTCTTCTAAAAGGGAGGAACAATAGTAACTCTATAGAGGAGATACCTGATGAAAACTCTCTCAAGTTGGGCAAATCACAGACAGGGAGAAAATATTTTACGTCCCATATCTCATGAGGGACTCATGTCCCAAATACATAATTTTAACTACCTGATGGAAATAAACAAACCAATACAAATATATAACTGATTTAAGGACACTGCACCGAACAGGATATATACCATAGATCACACACTAAAGAAAATAAAAAGCACACATAAGCATGCTCAGCATCGTTTCTCATGAAGAAAATGCAAATGTAAACTACAGAAAATATTCAACTGCAAAGCTATCAGGATGGCTAGAGTCCCCAAAACTGAAAGTGCCAAATTTGGGAGAGGATGAGGAACTCTCCTTCATTGTTAATAGGGAAGAAAATGTTACAGCCACTTTAGAAGAAAGTTTGGCATATTCTTATAAAGTAAAACATGGACTTGCCATTCGATTCAGAAACACTGGTCGTCAGTTTTATCAAGTGAATTTGGGGTCAAAATGATGCATGATTAGAGCAGTTTGATTCATAATTGCCAACCAAGTCTTCCTTCAAGAGGTGAATTCATTAATAAACTTTGATACAGCCACAAACTGAAACTTGGATTCAAAGCTGAAGCCACCCTCAAATGTTCCAGAAAAAAGAAAGGTTCAAAGGGAAGTTCTATCAAATGGTCAGGGAAGTCCTATCAAATGGTCAGCGAGAACTCATCAGACTCTTATGCTGACTTTTCCAAAGCATACAAAAGGATGGGCAATTGTACAACTCATCCTCCCAGGCTACCTTTCTTTTATTCAAAATCCGGAGGAATTCCCACAAACAGACCTTTTGGAACAAGTTCATTCACATAGCATAAAATAGCCTGTACATACTAATGGCATATTCAACTCAACAGTGCATTATATGAACAAGCAGCCTATCAGCCTATATCCAATAAATAAAATGAGGATTTAATGTTATAAAAAATTCTATTGCAAGTCCATGCACACAAAATACAGAAGAAAAAAAATTTTCATGCCAATGGCTACAGAGAGAGATCCTTGCAAAACACACACACACACACACACACACACCACAAACAAACAAAAAACTTTACTATGTTCAGGGAAATAACTTTGAACAAACTCAGCCAAAAGGGAATTTCCATTTCCTAAAATTGAGAGCAACCTGCTTAAGTGTGAAACATTAAAAAAAAGCATTTCCATTAAAGGCAGGGACAAGTCAGAGATGCAGGCTGTGGGTATAAAAGTAAATATGAGGTATGAATATGGAAGGGAAACAAACAATATCTGTTGATAATATGATCATCTAGCTAGAAAATTCAAAAATGGAGATCTGGATTACTCAAATGCATAATAAACTGTATGGAAGATCACCATAGCAATAACAAAACCTTCCCTCACAAAGCTATAACTAATTAGAACATAGAATACAAAAATGTCGTTGACCACAGCTATAAAAGTCAAAACTTAACCAAGAAGTATCCTAATTTAAAAAGAGTGAATTAAAAATAATACTAAGGGATTCAGGTAAAAAAAAGAAAAAAAGCACCAAACTAATGGAGCAGTTTCCATATTCATTCATGGGAAACACAATATTGCAAATATGTTGATTCTGCTTAAAATTTTACAAATTTAGTGCTATACAGGTGTTGCCCAAATAACAATTAAGCTTGGACTGATGACTTCTGCTCCCTAAACAAACAGAGGGAAAATATCTAAGGAAGAGATTGGAGGGCAAGGGCTGGGGGAGTATTCAACAATAAAATCTAAACAACTTAATATGAGCAAGCCCCTCGGGGACACAAGACTGGTGAGCTGGCATGTGTGGTTGAGGTGGTTGTGTGGGGGAGCTGGGAAGTGGTTGAGGACTGGCCTTTCAAAAAGTATCCTTTCAATAGATTATAAAGAATAGAGAAGGAGTAGAAAAGCAAGTATCAGAGTAAATCATGCATAGTAAGATTAGGTAAGCTTTCATAAAGTAACTTGTCTAGTATATGGAAATACATAGGACATAGACATCCATGCATATATAAAAATGTAAATATAAATATAAATATAAATATAAATATAAATATATATATATATATATATATATATATATATATATATATATATAGTGTATGGGCACCTATAGATATATAAACACGCCTGATCAACATTTAGGCTATATGTGTACACATACACTATATATCCAGATTTATACATGCATATACATATATGCAAAGATGTATGCATAAATAAAATTTATACAAACTAGGTAGAGTTGCACAATGTAATAATTACTATAAATGAGGATCAAAAAGAAAAAAAGCCTGCAATGACAAGCAAAGGTAGACAGATAACCCCGAAACCACAGGCCCTCTCCGAATCCCTGCTATAGCTCAGCGACTATACTGAAAGGAAACATGTAGAACACAATGTTTCCATGGTGCCAGGCGGTCTGGTGCAGAGGCACCATGGGAAGTCGGGGCAGGGGAGGCAGTTAGGGTCTGATGCTCCCCAGGGACCATGGCTCTGCAGCGCCCCCTCTGGGAACCGTGATGTGACCACGGTGTCCAAGCCAGGGCTGTGAGGACCCTCCAAGTAAGGACTCAGGACTCCTCCCGCCCACACAGAAGGCCCACCCCGGGACCCAGCTCTGGTGCTCCTTTCAGATCCGGGTACCTCAGGCAGGCTGTCCGGCTGCGCACTCCCGCCCACCTCCCGGACTCTAGGACCCAGAGGGACCTGGGGAGGCCGACACTTGGCCTGTGGGGCATAGACCCAGGTCAGCACAGGGTGGGGGCCCAGGCCATCCAGCCCAGGTAGGGACCAGAAGGGGGGGCTGGGCACAAAGAGTGGAACTCCAATCTGGTCAGCAGGCCTGGGTGACCCCACAACTGGTTTCCGGAAGTGATGTCACTGACTCACTGACTTCCGCCTGAGAAGCCTGAGGGAGCCGAGCGCCATCTTTGGGAGGCCGGCTTCGGTCGGTAGACTGGACAAGCACTGAGGGGAGCCACCTCAGGTCGGCACCGGCGGGCCCAGGCTCTGCCTGGAATCAGGGTGAGGACCAGACGGAGGTCCCGGGGAGCTAGTCCAGCCCCTGCCGGGAGCCCTGGGGAGTGAGGCCCACAGGCCTCCCCTGGGGTCTCGGGGGTGATGGCCTCCGTGTGGGGGTCCGGCCTCCCGGTTCACAGAGGGAGGGTCCCAGGACCTGCAGGCCTCATGGTTAGGCAGTGTGTGTGTGGGGGGGGGACAAGGTGACTCTGGGCCCAGAGCAGTCAGTCCCGGGGGCCCCAAGGCGTGGGGTGACCACGAGGGGCGAGGCCTGACTTCCGGGTCCTCCGGGTCTGAGACCCTCGGGCGGCTCCGTGTCACGGCAGCGTCTCAGGTCGGCAGAGGGGGTCCGGGACCTGCCGGGAGTCAGTGTGGGGACCCTGAGGGAGATTGGGGGGCCTGGACCCCAGAACAGTGTCCTTCGGGCGGGCCTCCTGTGGTGGGGGAGGTGTGAGAGCTCACACATTGTGCTTTGTGATTTCTGCATTGGGTCTGTGAGACATGGCGGGCGGGGGGGGGTCGTGGTAGAAGGAGCAGGGCTTCAGGCCGAGTGGGGGTGGGGCAGGCCATGCTGCTGTGAAGTTGAGGACCCTGGAGGAGATTGGAGGCCCTCTCTGAATCCCTGCTATAGCTCAGCAACTTTAGTGAAAGGAAACATGTAGAACACAATGTTTCCATAGTGCCAGGCGGTCTGGTGTAGAGGCACCATGGGAAGTCGGGGCAGGGGAGGCAGTTAGGGTCTGATGCTCCCCAGGGACCATGGCTCTGCAGCGCCCCCTCTGGGAACCGTGATGTGACCACGGTGTCCAAGCCAGGGCTGTGAGGACCCTCCAAGTAAGGACTGAGGGCTCCTTCCGCCCACACAGAGGGCCCACCCCGGGACCCAGGCTGGTGCTCCTTTCAGATCCGGGTACCTCAGGCAGGCTGTCCGGCTGCGCACTCCCGCCCACCTCCCGGACTCTAGGACCCAGAGGGACCTGGGGAGGCTGACACTTGGCCTGTGGGGCACAGACCCAGGTCAGCACAGGGTGGGGGCCCAGGCCATCCAGCCCAGGTAGGGACCAGAAGCGGGGGCTGGGCACAAAGAGTGGAACTCCACCCTGGTCAGCAGGCCTGGGTGACCCCACAATTGGTTTCCGGAAGTGATGTCACTGACTCATTGACTTCCGCCTGAGAAGCCTGAGGGAGCTGAGCGCCATCTTTGGGAGGCCGGCTTCGGTCGGTAGACTGGACAAGCACTGAGGGGAGCCACCTCAGGTCGGCGCCCGCGGGCCCAGGCTCTGCCTGGAATCAGGGTGAGGACCAGACGGAGGTCCCGGGGAGCTAGTCCAGCCCCTGCGGGGAGCCCTGGGGAGTGAGGCCCACAGGCCTCCCCTGGGGTCTCGGGGGTGACGGCCTCCGTGTGGGGGTCCAGCCTCCCGGTTCACACAGGGAGGGTCCCAGGACCTGCAGGCCTCATGGTGAGGCAGTGTGTGTGTGTGTGGGGGGGGGGGGACAAGGTGACTCTGGGCCCAGAGCAGTCAGTCCCGGGAGCCCCAAGGCGCGGGGTGACCGCGAGCAGCGAGGCCTGACTTCCGGGTCCTCCGGGTCTGAGACCCTCGGACGGCTCCGTGTCACGGCAGCGTCTCAGGTCGGCAGAGGGGGTCCGGGACCTGCCGGGAGTCAGTGTGGGGACCCTGAGGGAGATTGGGGGGCCTGGACCCCAGAACAGTGTCCATCGGGCAGGCCTCCTGGGGGTGGGGGAGGGGTGCTCTCACGCATTGTGCTTTGTGATTTCTGCATTGGGTCTGAGAGACACGGGGGGTTTGGTAGAAGGAGCAGGGCTTCAGGCAGCACAGGGGGGACCCCAGGTCCTGCTGCTGTCAAGTTGAGGACCCTGAGGGAGATTGGGAGCTCTGGACCCCATAATCCTCAGACCGGGGATGCCCAGTGGGCAGGCTGACCACAGACATAGTTTGCTGACTTCCCCATCCAGGTCCAGTGTAAGGAGCAGCACCACAGGTCAGCTGAGGGAGCACGGAGGTGACCCTGGACCCCACAATGTAGGGGACCCCATAAAAGTCCTCCCCTGCTACAAGCCATGGGGTGCTCCAGGGGGAATGACCATGTGCGGTGTCCCCTGACTTCAGCAGCAGGTCTGCGCCAGGCTTGGAACTTGATAAAACGTGCAGGGCCTCAGGTCCACAGAGGGGAGGGCAGAGTTGCTGCCCAGAGCCAAGTGGCATCCATGGCTTCACATCCGGGTCAGTGAGCCTGTGGGTTTCAGTGAAAGGAGCAGGGCCTCAGGTAGGCAGAGGGAGGGCCCAGGGCCGGCCGGAGTCAAGGTGAGGACCAGGAGGGAGGAATGAGGGGACCCAGGAACCCCCAACGTAGAGCTCCACAAAAGCTCACTCTCGCTCTTTGCCATGGTAGGTGCCGCGAATGCTTTCCAGGTATAATGTTCAGTGAGTTCTGCCCGGAAGTCTGAGAGAGGCGAGGACCAAGTCTGGAGGATTGCTACACGTCCATAGAGGGAAGGAGCCTAGTTCTGCAGAGAGTCCCGGTATGACCCTGGGGGAAGATTGCCCCCCCCCCACCACCACAGAATCCAACTTTGCCCCTTCTGTCAGCACCCTGAGTCCCAGGGACTGAGCTGACTGGCTGAGTTCTACTACTATTTCCTGGAAACCACCAGCCCCCACCTCCTTATATAACTTGGGAGTCAAGGACATGGTCAGAAAGGAGCAACTGGAGGTTTGCAGGGGGCAGGGCTCAGACTTTGTCTGGAAACAAGATGAGGAGGGAGGGCTAAATACCTTATTGAATCGTTTCAGCCCCCTGCTGGGTGCCCTGGGAATCCCATGGTTTGGTGGCCTGATGTAAACTGCCCCTTCTTTGATCCCTTGTACAAACTTTGGAGGTATTAATCACAACGGGAATCTGCTGACTTCCACATTCTGATCTTGGAGAGACTGAGAAATGTATATAGGAGCAGCTGTTCAGTCAGCTAGAGTGGAGGTGCCAGGTTCTACAGGGTGTCAAGGTGAAGACCCTAAGGACTGAGAACCCAGGACCCCAAAGCAGAGATGGATCCAGTGCCTGAACTTGGATATTTCCTGTCCTCTCCCTGGGCAGTGTGGGTGTCCTCTGGAGGCATAGGCCTTGGACTAAGGAGTGTGGTTTCAGGTCAGCAGATGGTGGCCTTGGCCTTCAGGATGCGTTCTCTGGTTAGGAAAAGGGATAGATCTAGGCCCTGCCAGGAGTAATTTTGTATACCTTAAATTCATTGAGGAAGTTTCCACCACAGACAGAGGGGGCTCAATAAAGTCTGCCCCTGTCATTCTTTTCATCCCTGAAATGCCGCAGGTGATGCACCTTCAGTACTGAGGGAGTTGAGTCCTTTTTGTGAGCATCAATTTCAGGTCAGTAGAGGTAGCCACATCTGGTCAGCAGAGAAAGGAGTCCCAGGATCTGCCATATCTCTAGAAAAGGACCGCCTGGGAGGGTGGAAGGTATGAAGGTTCACTGACCTTAAAAGAGAAGGTACCACAAAGTGTCCAGCTCGCTATGTTCTCAGATCCAGGAGGACCCTGTCAGGGATGCCTGGGTGAGACAACCTCCCACTACTGCCACAGTGTTTGGGATGGGGGATCTTGGGGATGTGAGGACCTAAGTCTGAGAGAAATGTGAGGTCAGTGGAGGGAAGTGTTCATGATCTCTCAGGTGACAATGTGCTTACCCTTTGTGAAGCCTAAATGTGCACCGTCTTCTCAGAAAGGGAAGGATGACACAAAGTCCAGGTGGCCCCTGTTCTCAGACCTGAAAGAAGCATATTGGCCCTAAGTGATATGCTTCTTTCTATCATGGGCAGAAAAGTGGGGAGTCATCAAGGAGGTGAGGTCTTGATGGGAGAGACCAAGTGTTCCAGGTGGGAGGCCTGGAAGAAGGGCAGGTCCTGGCAGGAGTAAAAGTGAATCACCTTCAGGGGCACTAGGGAACCCTACCAGGACAGAGATCCCTGTCTCTGCTGCCAGCCTTTTGTGATGTTGGCAGGGGTAGGGGTGATTTGGGGCATGGATATGAAGCTGCCTCACTTTGCTCTGTAGTCTCTTAGGGAGGTGATGACCTTGATCTGAGAGTACATCAGGTCATTTGAGGAAGTACTCCTGTTCAACTGAGAGCAGAGTCCTACGTCCTGCCAAGAGTCAAGATGAGAACCCTAAAGAAGGAGTGATTGTAGCCCAATCCCCAGAACAAAGTGGGGGGCCCCAAAGAAATCTGGCCTGTCCCTATTGTCAGCTCTGAAAACCCTGCGCAGGGCTGTCAGGTTGAGCCCCTCCCCATTTTCAGATCCAAGGACCCAGGGAGGGCACATCCTTGGTCTGATGGTCTGGACTCAGGCTAGCTGAGGCAGGAACCCAGGCCTTGGCATGGGTCATGGTGAGGAATGAGGGGACCCTTCACACTAGGACATGTGGAACCTATAGATTACGGTCACACAGTGTTGTCCTTTGATGAGTACTATAAGCCTGGACAGGTGCTACAAAATATGGTAACCACTCACTTACTTCTGTTAAGATTTAAGGATGCGTGTTCTTGTTGTAAGCGTGCTCTCAGGCCAGTGAGGCATGGGGGTGGGGGAAGCAGGCCCTGAATGAGCACAGAAGGATCCTTGCCCCCAGAAAGGAAGATATTTCATAGCACACGACCCCACTATCAGACCCAGAATCTCCAGCTGTGCCAGTTTTTTGTTTCCACCTTCAGGATATTAGGGGACAGGTTTCCCAGCAGGAGAGACCCCTGTGAGACCTAAGAGCATCCCTGTAGAGTAGCCCTAAAATTCTTCATTCACAGAGCTGCCGAGGGTGTGTTCCTCAGCTGAGCATACTCAGGTATCCAAAACCTGTTGCAGGTGCAGCTATTCATGGATGAGGAGGACTTGGTCATGTCTGCCTTCTTATCTTTGTCCCTCTCTGCCTTGTTCCCACGCAGCCTAGAGCACGTGTCTGCTGCTGAGACACCAGGTCCTCCCCAGAGCTCTCCGGTTCCTGAAGCTGTGCCCCTGCCATGGCGGCCCCTACATGGAGCCAATCTGAAGATGAGGGCGTCAGCAGCCAAGATGAACAGGAGACAAACAGCAGAGAGGACTCTGAAGATTCTGAGTCATCACTCCACGATGCCCTATATTTGAAAATGACTGAACTGGTGGAGTTTCTACTCCCGAAGTATCATGCAAAGCAGCCAACTACTAAGGCAGAAATGCTGAGTAAGGTCATCAAAGAGTACCAGGATCACTTCCCTGAGATATTCAGACTAGCCTCTGAGTTCATGCAGCTCCTTTTTGGCATTGATGTGGAGGAAGTGAACCCCAGTACCCACACCTATGTCCTAGTCACCACTTTGGGGCTCACATATGATGGGATGGTGTCCAATGGGCAATCCATGCCCAACACTGGCCTCCTGGTCATGCTCCTGAGATTTATCCTTGCAGAGGGCGACTGTGCCTCTGAGGAGGAAGTCTGGAAAGCCCTGCATGTCATGGGTGTGCATGATGGGAAGGAGCATTGGCTCTATGGGGAGCCCAGGGAGCTCATCACCAAAGTTTGGGTGCAAGAAAAGTACCTGGTGTACCGACAGGTGCCCAACAGTGATCCTGCACGCTATGAGTTCCTGTGGGGCCCCAGGGCCCACGCTGAGACCACCAAGTTGAAAGTCCGTGAGACTTTTCTCAGGGATTATAGAAAGGATCCCATTTTTGTCCCATACCTGTCTGAAGAAGCTATAAGTGATGAGGAAGAGGGGGCCTGAGCCAAGTTTCACTCAGGAACCTTTCAGGTCCATGTCTGGCAGCTTCTCCTGCTAGACATGATGTGAGGCCAATTCTTTAGTCTGTGTTTGAAAAGAGGGTAGTCCACATTCTAGGTAGTAAGGCCCAGGACTATTTGGGGGGAATAAGGGCTGTAGCATCTTTGGGTTCCTGTGATGATTTAGAAATGTATCCTTGTTTTCTGTAGAATTTTTCAAATGTTTCTTTTCACAGGTTTTATATACTTCAGTTTGTGAATGACATTGACCATACATGTATTTGTACTATCCAGCTCAAAAGTAAGAGTTGTGCTATTGTGTAATACAAAATGGGACACCTTTCAGTGTACTTTGTGATTCTGAACTAGATAACATGGCATCAGAACAGTATTTTCTTGGAAATGTGAAAAAACTTGAAGGAGAAAGCGAGACAGCTCTCAGGGTAAAGCTGGCACAAACCAAGGTACTGAGGTTGACAGTGGTGTGGTGTGGGGTCAGGGTCACTCAGAGCCCTCACATTTTCTTTGGCAGGGCTTGGGCCCCACCCTTCTGCTAGCCCGAGACAAAACTCTCAGAATAAGACCACACATCCCTGAGATTGAGTAGAAGAAAGTGAGGGGGCCTACATCTGGCCCTTATAGGGATGACAGCTGGATCCTCACCAGGACCTCTACCAGGGCCACAGATTCTGCTTTAGCTGACCTGACTTCAGACCCTCAGACCAAGGCCCTCTGGTCCCTGAGACCACCAATCTGGAAATGAGGAGGGGCTCAGCCTGACAGCCCTGCATGGGTTTTCAGGGCTGACAATAGGGACTGGACAGATTTCCTTGAATCCCCTCTTTGTTCTCAGGGTTGGACTACACTCACTCTTCCTTTGGGGGCACTCACTTTGACTCTTGGCAGGACCTGGGGCTCTGCTGTATGTTAGCAGATGTGCTTCCTCAGTTGACTTGAGTTATCTTCTCAGACCAAGGTCCTCACCTCCCTGAGAGCCCCGAGAGAAGAGCTCCAAGATCAAAAAAGACTGGCAGCAGGAACTGGGCCCTCTATCCTGGGGTGGGGTTTCAATTCTTCCTATAGGTTACTTATCTTTAGTTCTGCCAAGGCCTGCCCTTCCTCCCAGCACCCAATATAGGGTAGTTGACTTCTCCCCCTTAGACCACGACCTAACCTCCCTGAGGACTCCCTACCTTCCCACCAATGACAGAAAGGATTGTGCCACTTAGGGCCACTAGTGACTATTCCTTTCAGGGCTGAGGACAGATGGCAGCCGGACTCTGGGTCATCCTTTCATTTATGATAAGCAGGTGAGAACAATAAGGTTTCATGAAGGGCCCACATCTTGACATCTGGCCGATCCTGGGACTCCTCCTTCTGCTGACCCCACCTTTCCCCTCAGACCAAGGTCCTCAGATCCTTAAGATACCCCATCCCCAGCCACATGGCAGTCATGGGAGCATGCCACACCCATCCATCCTTGCCTGGATCCTCCCAGGCCTGAGAACAAGGCAAGCTGGACTCTGTAAGGTCCCTTATCTTTTGGGCTGGTGGAACCTTCATACTCTCCACCTTCCCTTTCTTGAGACCTGGCAAATCCTGGGACTCCTTTCTCTGCTGACCAGATGTGGCTGCTTCTGCTGACCTGAAATTGCCCCACAGAACAAGGCCTTACCTCCCTGAGAGACCAAGGCAGAGTTGAGGGTGCATCACCTGCAGCCACCCATACGTGGGGACTTCAAGGAAGACAGGAGTAGGCCAATTTGAGTGGGCTCCCTATGTCCAGAGTGGGGGTCTGCTAAGTCCTCCATCAGGGTACTGGGACCCCACCAACTGCGTATTTGCTCTCACACTCCTCATCCCAAGGCCTTTATATCCTGAAGACCCCCAAGGCAGAAGTCAGGAATAATCTTATCTGGTTATCCTATTCTTGGGCCTTCAGAGACTGAAAGCAGGGGCATAGAATCCATCTCTGATTTGGTATCTTAGATCCTCAGTCCACCCTCAGGTCCTCACCTAGACTCCCCACAGGACCTGGGTCTGCCCCCATCCATGTGGTGATTTGAAGCCCTGATCCTTACATGAAGTTCCCAGTCTCTCTTAGACCTGGATGCAAAAGTCAGGAAAGACCACATGTGATTAATAGCTCCAAGGGGTCTCTCAGGGCTGACTGTAGGGGTGGGATTCTGTTGGGTCACTTCTGTTCTGGGGTTCAGGGTACGCTTAGTCTTGCCTCAGGGTCCTCCTCTTGACTCAGACAGGAGTTGGGATCCTCCCTTCTGTTGCCTGAGGTCCTGGTCCTTATACCAAACTCCCAGAGTCTTTCAGACCCAGATGTGAAAGTCAGGACACACTGCGTGTGGTTATCCTGCCCTTGGAACCTCCCAAAACTGACTGTTCTGCGGTCCAGGGTCCTTTTGGCCTTCCTCAGGGTCCTATCCTTGATCCTAGCATGACCTGAGATTCTCTTCTGCTGCCTGAGGTCCTACTCCTTATACCAAACCCCCAGAGTCTCCCAGACCTGAATGCAGAAGTCAGAAAATGTCATATTTTTTCATCCTCCCATGAGGCCTGCCAGAATTGGCTCTGTTCTGGAGTGCGAGATCCTCATTCTTCCTCAAGATCCTAACCTTGATTCCACACCGTGCTTCTACCCTTACTTGAGATTATTCTTTTCACCAAGTCACCAGTCTCTCTCAGACCTGGATGCGGAAGCCAGGACACGCTGCACCTGGTCATCAGTCATGGGGCCTCCCGTGGCTGATGGCAGGGGCGCACTTTGGTGGGGTCTCCTTTGTTGTGAGCCCTGGGTTCCCTTACCTTTCTGAAGGATCCTCACGTTAACTCTGGTGGTTCCTGGGCCTTCCCTCTGGTGCCTGAAGCCCTGCTCCTTATACCAAATCACCAGAGTCTCACAGACCCAGGTGCAGAAGTCAGGAATGGCCATCCCACCTTCTTGGCCTCCTAGAAATAACTGTCCCTTTGTTGTCCCTCATGGCCTTTACATTGAACCCTTGTAGGTTTTGGAACCTCTTTCTGTTGATCCAAGGCCCTCAGACCAAGGCCTTCACTGTTAAGTCTGAGAACATCACATCAGGCCACTAAGCCTGGGGATTCCCAGGGCTCCCAGCAGGGCCTGAAATAGATTCCATGGGGTACTCCCTCTGTTCCTCACCCTGATTCCAGGCAGAGTCTGGGTCCCACCTGTGCCAACCTGAGATTGCTTCCCTCAGAACTTGTCCTTGACTCCCTGTTCTCTGAGGAGGTGGGCGAGGGGTGCAGGAAATAATTCTCAGTAAGACACCCCACCCTGGGCTCTCAGTGCTGACAGCAGGGCCACCCTGGGTCCTGGGGCCTCAGTCCTCCCTCAGGATCATACCTGCACTCTCTGCAGCACTGGGCTCCTTCCCTCTACTGACATGAAGCTGGCCTCCCAGACGCGGGCTCAACTCTCTCAGACTTCTGAGGTGGAAGTCAGTGAAGGTCATATCTGGACAGCATTTCTGCCCCCACCCCAGGGCTGACAGTAAGGATGAAGATAGGTTCTGTGGGCGCTGAAGTACTCCCCACTCTGGTCCTCACCTTTATCTTATAGGACCTGAGCCCCTGCCTTCTGCTAACCTGAGTCTGTGACCAAGGCTGTGGCTCCACCATTTCCCTGAGAAAGTGGAGGGGACATGGGTGCTCAGTCTGATAGTCCTCCTGGGATTCCCCAGAACTAACAGTAGTACCCAGAGTTGGATTCTGTAGTGTCTTCTGTTCTGGTGTGAATAGATCCTTCAGTCCTCACTCAGGAGAGGGCCTCACAACCCTTGCAGAGATTGCTGCAGTACCAGGACAGATGCTGCAGAGGGCACTGATGTGCCTAGGGTGTCGGGGAGGGTCACAGAAGCCCTCCCCCACTTTCCATAGCATCTCTTCACCAGCCTGGCTGAGACTTTGGAAAACATGTGTTCTTAAGGTTTCATTTTTTGTTCGTTTGTTTTTATTGATTTCAGAGAGGAAAAGAGAGTTAGAAACATCAATGATGAGAGAGAATCACCGATCGGCTGCCTCCTGCATGCCTCAAACTGGGGACCAAGCCCACAACCCAGGCATGTACCCTTGACCAGAATAGAACCTGGGACCCTTCAGTCTGCAGGCCGATGCTTTATTCACTAAGTCAAACTGTTTAGGGCTAAAGGTTTCATTTTTGAAGACACTGAGCAACAGAAGGAATTTGAGGAGGTCCTGCAGGTTTGTGGTTGTCTGTCTACCTTTGCTTGTCATTGCAGGAATTTTTGATCACTTTTTGATCTTTATTCATAGTAAGTAATACATTTTACATCTCTACCTAGTGTATTTTTAGAATATATTTGTGAATATATAATTTCATGAAAGACTACTTACCCTTACTATCTGTGGTTCACTGGTTATTCTATTTCTATTCCATTCTTTACATTAGATTAAAATCATAATTTTTTGACAGACCCATCCTCACCCACTGAAGCGGTTTCAGATGGCTATATACTGACTCCAGAGTATCTCAATCAATGGCACTTTTCTGCTAATCTGGTATTATTCCAGGGATACTAGCATGGCAGTATCCCACCAATGTCGTCTGAGGGCCTCAGATTTGTGAAATGAGCAAGAAAAAAGTTTAAACATTTTCCCCTACCCACCTGTTGTTTGCATCTATGCAAACTACACCCCCTCCCTATGCGTTACTCCCCATGTCTCTATCCCAAACACAAGTCTTCAGTCTCCACAAGACAACTCACCAGTCTTCAGGCTCTCCCAGGGCTTTCTCACGATTCATTGTTTAGATTTTGTTGTTGACTTCCCCACCTGCTTCCTTCTATAGTTTTCCAGGTTTGATTTGGGGAGAAGAAGCCATCAGTCTGAGCATGGTTGTGATCCTGACAGTTACAGGTAAGGCACTAAATCTGTAAATCATTTAAGCAGAATTAACATGTTTAAAATACTCTGGTCCCCATCAATGAATATGATATACTGTTCCATTTA